GAAGTACCTTATTCTCAGTAATACATGGAGGCATTGTAGGTATACTCAGAGAAAAGATGTTTCTAATGGGAAAGAGGTTCAGGAGGACAGGTTAAAGTACTGTATGCACTGTGAATCTCAGGAGTGTGGTAAGTCATACTGTGATATTATTCTCATTCAGAGAATAATAACCAATTCATGCTTTTAACTATATACCAGCATCATGGTAGATGTAAAAGAAGTTGTCGTCCTGACTCTTTAAGGTCTGCCTTACAGCCATTATAGTGGGAAGAGTCTTATAGCTACCAATTCAGGTCTTCAAGATACCTTTGGAGTTCCAATAGGTCCTATTCAGGCCTGGAAATTCTTAATCTTATTACTTTGTCTGCCCTAGTCTGAAATGCTGTTTTATTCAGGGCACCCTTTGCCAATAAAACTATAGATGCTAATGAAACTTACTACTTCTGGATTTTCTATAGCCTATCATAATTTTTTTTTTAATTTCCTCAACTGTCCAATTCTCAGAGATTGCCTGGACAAGTCCATATTACCCATGCTTTTAATCAACCAATGTGCAAAGTTGCTTTTGAGAATATATTATTGTGGTTGACCATTGCCACTGCCAACAACTATTTGGTGATCTTAAATCCCTACAGGCTCCAACAATAACCTTGAAGTGGAATTGTTGAGTCCCTGAGTCAACGGCGAATGAAGAGCACACATTCTGTAATTCCAACAGCCTTTATTCTCAGTAGTTCTCCCTCCGACACAACTCTGAGGCTCGCAGGCCTCTCTGTCTCCTTTAATAGAATCCCCGGGCAAAAAGGTAACAATCTGGCGCGCTTCCGCGCCTCGCGCATGCGCACACAGCTGGTGCCACTCAGTCTGGTCCCGGGCAGCTTGCAGCAGCTTGGGACCATTGCAACGTCCCGAGCCTGCCTTTGCAGGCTCAGGACACAACTGGAATGGCAACAGAACATAAGATAAATCCTTTGTAAAGTAGTGTGAAAGTACTTTTAGTTTCCCATCTACTCAGACCAAATGGGAAAGAATAGGTTTAAATTAAAGAATGTAGGTATTGGTCATACATCAGGAAAATATTTGTCTTAGATTTATAGCTTTTGGCAGTATATATAGTCTCCCGCCCCCACTTTCCAGACATCACTTTGCCACACAGAATTCACTGTGTCTAATAAACTAAGTTTTACATGCTGTATATCAAAAGACAAAAGAAAATACTGTCTTGGGATTCTCTGGTCCAGAGGGGTGTGTGTGTGTGTGTGTGTGTGTGTTTGTGTGTGTGTGTAGGATGAAGAGTATATTTGCAAGAGGAGTTGTGCAGAATTATCACTCCAGGGCCTTTGGGTTTGCCTGTTGGCTACAGCAGCTCCGGCTTCATAAAGTAAGCTAAGTAACCATTCATCATAGCCAATAGTCCCCTGACTCCTGTGGCTTATCCTTAAAAAATTACTATAGCTCTTTGAACTGATGTCATTTTAAAATAATTGCCCCAATATCTGCTCTTCAGCTTATAAAGATGTGTTGATGGGATGCCTGATATATGCCAAGATAATGTAATAGTGATAGAATTACTTAACTCTTTTAGCCAATAGTCAAATCTGGATTATGGGAGCATTTGGAGGGTGCTCCACCAAAGGGCAATTTATCCGATTAGAAAATGCCAGGGTCATCATTTCAGTCACAAAACACTCTTTCTCCAAAATGCAAGCAATCAAGGTCACGCCCCAATCCACTCTATTTCCCTTGGGAAGTTCTCTTTTCTGTCCTACTTTATATTTGGCTGTTTTCTGAGGTGGGCAAATTTCCTTTTAAAACATTAGGCTGAAGCCATCAAAGTTTATTATTATTATTATTTTCTAAAAATGCATAAGAGACCTAGAGGTATATTGTACTTGTAAATAAAGTTCACGCTAGAAGTTGGCACTTCGTTTGCAGCATGGCCAGATTCCACCTAATTTTATTTTTAATTAAAATAATCTATTTAAAAAGTCAGATGGGAGAAGGAATTTAGGGGATGGCAGAGGATTTGTTGGTGAGGCATTGACTGTCATGGGCACCAGGTGTCCCATCTCTGAATTAGGAAATACTCAGATCTCTTCTTGGATCTCCAAGGTGCTATGATTTTATGACTCTATCAAGCCATTTTTTCCCCAGTTTAGCAAAAAAAATTCTACATCTGGTGCTACTATTAGTTATACTGAGCAGCCAATTAGAGTGGCTGAGTAAGAGAAAAATGACCAAGATTCTTCATGCTAGATTCCCAGACTGCCTTCTTCACTTGATGGCCTTAGATATGCTGAGTTGATAATCCCCATGTTAGCAGAGAATACTGGGAGCTGTAGCTCCAAAACATCTGGAGAGTGTCAAGTAAACAAAAGTGGAATAATAGTTCAAGAAACACATATTAAGAAGAGAAATACAGGTGAGGCACTACCTTATGCAAGCAAAACTATGCACACATTTTCAATAATTGAGTCTGCACCTATATATTGTTTACTTTGCTATTTTCAATTATATACCGTCACTGTCCTGGACAGTTTAAATTGTGTCTTCAAAGACACCTCCTTGTTTGGCTTTCTTTTGAAACTATTTTAAGATTTTATTTTTATTATTTTTTTTTTATTAAAAAGTTTTATAAATTTTACAGAAAATAAAAGACAATACAGAAACAAAAAAACAACATATACAAATAAAAAACAAACATTACCCAACAAAAAACCCCCTTCCCCCACCCCTACCCAAACCCCCCCTTCCCCCCCCCCAGGGCCTCCCAGAGCAGAATATAGGCTTAATTAAAAAAAAATAAAAAAAAATTATATTTAAAAAAAAGAATATAAAATGAAAAATATATGTATATATAATTAAAAATTATGAGAAAACTATATAATATTTTTATATCAAGTTTAAATTGTATGAATTTTATCCATTTATCCCAAACAGCAAGAAATTTCTCTTGCGTTTGTCCCTTTTATTTTAAGATTTTATTTGTATTATTTGCTACATAGAGTATATTATTTATAATACGTATTTTTATATATACATTTTTTTATAAATAACTCAAAGCAGCAAGAATATCCAACACATCTTCTTCCTCATTTTCTCCATAATAGCAAAGACAGGATTTGAACTTACGGTTTCCTGCTTTACTAGCTTGGTGCCTTAACCACTAGACCAAACTGGCCTTTGCTATACTTTCTGGACTAAGACTAGCCAATTAATGGATGTTGAAAATGTAGCAGATCAGGAGGATTTGATACTAAAGTTATCAGAGAGTTGATATCCCAGCTGAACTTAGTTTATTTGTATGGTTTGGAGCGCAAACTATAAGTTATAATGTATGTTCAATAGAGAATATATAGTATGTAGCTCAGGTTGGTACAGGGTTGAATAGGCTGTTTGGAGCAAACCCTACACTCAGTAGCACTGATCATATTATCTAGTCAGGGAATGAAATATCTGTAAGCAAATAAACAAGCTCAAAGAGCAAGCAGGACTTTAATATATGTTCAAACAAAATCATGGAAAAAGCCAAGCCTTATTCAGGATAAAACAAGTCTGTGAAATAAAATTCAGGATTATCAAGTCTGTTAGATTCTTGCATATCAGTAGATTTCTCTGTGAAACCATGTAGTCAATCCAGATTACAGCAAGACTTTGGTTACTGTTTTTTGTTATCACAATCCTTGCAGCATCATTTTACTATTTAGATGATGGGTAGGGAGATCAATTCTAAAGAAAATTTCAAAACCAATCTTTGTTGATAAAACACAAGAAAAAAAACATGTCTGAGTGTATTTTCTTGGTTGAAAGTATGCAGAGAGTTGTTAGTCTTATTTTTAGTTATGCATCTTTTAACATCCTCTTCTGCTGTCTACATGTTCCAATCTCCAAATGCCCAATGAAAAAGTTTCTTTCTTGATATCTTTTGTTTGGCTTGAGTGATCTTGTGAGAAGCCACCAAAATTGCAAAGCACTCAACAAATTATTATTCAACAGAAAACAAGAGATTCAGATGAGTATGTTGCATGAAAAGCCACTGCTCCAGGCAGCATGGTTGCTTTTAAGTAAAATGCCATATTGTCTCAAACGACACACACATACACACACACAAACACTTCCTGCTGAACAGATAATTTCCAAATATTTTATTGAACACCATAGCAGCAAAGTCATGACATTTTAAAGGTAATAAGCACATAGTTTCTACTATATTTGGCCTGTAAGTACTTTACAGACTAAAGCATTTGAAATAGGAACACACAATGCCTACTTGAGAAACATGAAATTTTTTATCAAAAATGTATTAAGTTGTTTTCAAATTCATATAGTTACACCACCATATCAGATTCTCTAGAAGGCTGATTAATTTTTACTTCACTACCTATAGAAACTTGCAAATTTACTCATCTGCTTAACATTCTGATATACTTTTGATTTCTGAATTATCTAGGTTTCCCCTCATCTCCTGCTGTAGAAATCTCTAAATTTATGCTAAGATTTGCTTTACATCAGGGGTGCCAAACTCAATTTCATTGAGGGCTGCATCAGCATTGCGGTTGCCCTCGGGGGGGGGGGGGTGGGTATGGCCAAGGTGGATGTGGCCTGGGTGTGGATGGAGTAGGTGTGGCCTATTGGGTGGGATGGCCAGCTCTACATCGTTTGATTCAAGGGGCCTGGGCAGGAGTGGGACAGATCTGAGGGTCTCTGGCAGAAGGGGGTGGGACCAGGGCAAGTGCCAAGGCATGGTCTACTGGAGGAGCCGAGCTGCCTGTTGAAACCCTTCCGCTGGAGCCCATCAAGCCGGATGTAAAGGGCAATGGTGCATTTCTTTATTCCTCACAAAGGGTGACACCTCCCCAGCATGCACCCAGGAGGCGGGGTTGATGCAGCAGGGGCTGGTTCCTTGCTGTTTCCAGATGGCCTTGTGGAGCTAAGACTGAATGCGCTTCAGCATAGATGGCCACCACAAAATTGTACATTGGCTCCTGGCTGACCTGGGCCAGGGCCAAGGCAGTGGGGGCCATTCCCTCACTGTTTCCAGGATGGCTTTGCAGGCCACATGGAACTACTTCGCGGGCCGCATCCGGCCCCCGGGCCTTGTGTTTTGACATGTCTGCTTTACATGTATCAAACTGAACATGCCGCAAAGCACCACAGAATATCCTTACCGCACAGTACGAGATTTCTTGTGCTGCATTCCAGACAGATCTTTTTTCCAGGATAGGCCATTTCATAGCCAACCAGTTTTTCAATTTTTTTTCAATGTTTCAAAGGTAGTGAGGATGTTCTCAGTTCTTACTCACCTAGGATCTGAATGAAGTTTAGATTCCCCTCTTCCTACCCCGCCCCCATTTTTCCCCCTCTTTGTTAAAACCTCTCAGTTTTTCCACACTTGCTTTTATCTTTCCTCATTATTTCTAGGTGATCTTCACAGAAATTCCAGTCCTCTTGGCACCCATCTTCAGTTCATATATCAAAAAGGTTATTTGTTGAGAAATCTACTATTCAATTTCTAATGCAATGGCAAATACTTGATCATGTGGTTTCCTAGAATGCTAAAGGTGGAGTTATGCACTTTAAGTAATTCTAAATTTTATTAAATAAGGGCTGATCATTGAATTACAGCAAAGAGCTCAAGAGATCTCAGTGGCAAGGAGCATTGCTCTGAGTGCAGAATAGCCCCTCTGAGTCTGGAGTCCTCCCATCATTCCCAGTCGGTACTGCCCATGGTGACTAGGGATTGTGGGAACAATAGCCCTGTATATTGCAGTAATCAAAATTGAACAGCAGCAGCAGCAGCAGCAGCAACAGCAGCAAAGGTTTCAAGTCGTAGTTTTAACAGTGGATACTACAGTTTGATTCATTACATCCTGAAAGCAAAATGCAATCTGACAGGCTACTATGGGAGTACAGATTGGATCTATGATACCCTTGTACATTATAGGCATTATATTTCTTTTAATAAGGATTTGTGTTTTTTTTTAAAAGACAGATATAAAAAAATAAATTTCCATTCTAAGTTAATCCTAAACATTATAAGCATTCAATTGTAGCAGAGTTTGCATGAACAGTGCCTTTCTTTTTCACAGTCATCAAGGAACATCATGTATCTAAAGAAAACAGAGAGAGGGAGAGAAGATTAATTGTCTTGGGTATTACTATAAAACAACACCTCCCTAACCTTAATATCTGCCTAAAAGTAACTACGGATAATCTTTGACTTACAACCATACATTTAATCACTGAAAGAAGTAACACACTTACAACCATTGCTGAATCCCCTGAGTCATGTGATCAAAATTCAGGCGCCTAGCAATTGGCAAGTATTTTTGACAGTTGCACTGTCCCAGGATCAGGTGATCACTATTTGCAACTTTCCCAGTCAGCTTCTGACAAGCAACGTCAATGGCAGAAACCAGATTCACTTAATGAGCACATGATTCATTTAACAATTGCAGTGATTCGCTTTACAACTGTGGCAAGAAAGTTTGTGAAATGGGGCACAACTCAATTAACAACCGCCTTGCTTAGCAATGGAAATTATATATATAAAACCTTCGTTGATTGTTTCATATTCCACAACTGTTGTCAAAATATCTGTGCAAAATAATTCCAGTGTAAAAAATGTTGCTGACAATTTGGTTGCTGGAATAGACAGCTATTAAAATGCTGATATTTATGTATATATCAACATAATATCTTGCACTATGCAAACATATATGCTAGGGACTTTGCGCACGAGGGCTTGAAGACTATTTCGTATCCAGAGAAGATTAGAAAGCATTTCATCATGCCTCTGAAGCAATGTTTAAACTTGTTCCACATTATGGAAGGAGCCATTTTTCTAATAACCTGAAACCCCAATGGGTATTTTGCAGACTTTGTTAAATGGCTATAAAGAAAAAGAGAGTTATCAGCAAGTGTGCCCTGAAGAGGGAGTTTCAGCCAATCACAGATCCACAGCATGAGTACCAGCACAATACACTTTTTAAAATCCCTGTTCATTTCATTTTATTCAGAATTTAAATCTGTTTGGGTACATTATTAGAAAGTTTAACTAATACCTAGGAAAACAAACATGATGCCATGGTTGCCCTTCTAAAAAGCTGATGAGTATAGTTGATTTGATTCTAGGGACCTCCTGTCTGAAACTCATCTCTGAAATTGGTGATTTCCAAACTGACCATCTTGGGCAACTGGGACAATACATATGCTATACTAGGATTCAGAGTTGCAAGTGGGAAAGAAGCTACTTGTATTATTTTGTACAGATTAGAAAAAAGAAGTATCCCAAAGTCTGTTTCAAGAAGGAGAGTAATCTTGCTGAATCTTGTTTTTTTTTTAAAAAAAAAACCTTAGAGAGACACCATCCATGACATAAGAAAGCAAACTAGATTATTCCAAAATGTTTTAAACCCCCACACTATCCCCAAATTGTCTGTTTCCAGATAATGCTCAGAAATAGTTTTTTCCATCCATTATTGTTTGAAGAATACAATGTACAGAATTCCTACCCAACACAGTCAATTCCAATAGCTCTAGTGCCAGCAAATCTGGAGCATACAAATTTGAGCAAGGTTGATTTGGAAACCAACTGACGGACAAATGGATGGATGGATGGATGGATGGATGGATGGATGAATGGGACAGAGAGAGGGGAGGGAGAGAGAGAATCTTGTGATCTTTGGTTGGGAAAATGTTAAAAAAGCAGCAATTTCATATGGGATTTGGGAATGAAGAATAAAAAAGTGTGTGCTTTTATAAAAAAATATGTGGTGCACCCAGTTAAATCCTGGCTACTTAATTTAGGAATCTGTTCTCATTCAAAATTATTCTGCTTATAAATTGACCACAGATACCCATGATTTCTGAGCTCTTACAAAGAAATACATCCTGAAGCATGGTTAACTTTGAAGATCCTACTGCTCAAGTAAAAATCAACTGTTCTTATAAATACTTTGTCTCCTGACTTTGAATTTTTTCAGTCCTTTAATTTGTGTAGATATAAAGAATAATATCTCAGAGCCATAAGACTAGTCTGAAAGCATCCTCATGGAGTTCATTGCAAACATAAATGTCCTTTCTAGAGATGGGCTGTGAAACAGGAGGAAAAAGTAAAGTTGAAGTAAAAAAAAAAAAGTCTGCATTACACTGATTGGTTATTTTCGCACAAAAAACTCTTTCCCTTAATTTCCAGAGCAACTTAAAAATAATTTCATTTCATTTTTTTCAAACTGAGATGATTACTAAGCTCAGAAGAATGGCTGCTATAATTTGTTGTAGAAAAACAAAATAAAGAATCTTTGGGCACCCTAAAGACTAATATTCATTTTGATCTACTTTTTCATGGACCAAAGCTTATAAAGTACTTGAGGATAACAAGGAAACAGATAAAAGTAAAAAGTTATATGAAACTTTTGGAAGTAATAAAACAAAGCCTGAAGATTTGAGAAAGGCAAGACTGAGAAACAAACTAGTTGCTATTAATTCATTCATGCACATGTCTGTAATTGAAACTACGAAGCGCTTGCAGGTTAACCAAATAATGTACTATGAGTGGTATTTATATTACATTTGTCTTTACTGAAACTGAAAGGTGCCTAAAAACATTCTGCTGGTTCAAGTGTTTTTAACTTTCAGCCAGTTCTGCATTCAAATCACTCTTCAAGCAGAGAAACAAGTATATTTGCTGATGGCTACTGTAAAAATCAGTGGCAAAATGACAAACTCAAACCAGAGGACCATGACCTCTCTCATCCCATTTTCCACATCGTGCTGCATGACCAAATGAGGTACAACGATGAATGCACATTTTTAAAAAACTTACCACATTCAGGATGCCAACTTATTGAAAAACTCGATAACTTTTGCATGCCCTGCAGCCTTGGCCTATTAAAAAAAAGATTGCAATGCCAATAAGCACCAACACATTTACATACACTAAGGAGCACAGTGGCTAAAGTGTTTGGAACTTTGGGCAGAAGGTTAGCAAGCCTTCTGCCCAAAGAGCTGCCATGGGGCAGGGTTGAGCTCTTCTTCCTCACTCCAGCTTCTGCTAGGGACATGAAAGTAACCCACAACTGGGTGTCCCCAAGGCAATGGTGATGTCACTGGCTAATCCTTTCCACCCAGAAGCACCAAGTGCAAAATGGATATATACAGTATACCTTCCATACCCATAGCAATAGCAATACCACTTAGACTTATACACTGCCCCATAGTGCTTTACTAGCACTCTCTGGGCAGTGTACAATGTCAGCATATTTCCCCCACCAATCTGCATCCTCATTTTACCAACCTGGGGAGGACGGAAGGCTCAGTCAACCTTGAGCCCTGTCAGGATCAAACTTCAGGCTGTGGGCAGAGTTTGCCTGCTATACTGCATTCTAACTACTGAACCACCAGGGCTCCTCAATATTACAATATGTTCCTATAAGCATCATCCTGTTTTATTGTCCAGTCAAGGCTCTGCTCCAAAATTCTTCAATACTTAATACCTTACCAAGAACAATTTGACATTCTTGAAACTTTAGAAAGATGGGATCAATGTTTCTAAAGTTTAAAATTATACTGTTTATCTATACCATATCCAATATTCAAGGACTGCTTGAAAAATACCCATTGTTTGAAAGAAAAAAAAGTGAGTGGTTTTATTTTTCTTGATAATCTGATTTTCTATTCATGTTTATAGCTGTTTATTTCTTCTGAGACTTTATTACATAATATGCTACTTTTAAATAATGGGCTAGAAGTCTCTTTCAGCTGAGCTGGCAGGAAACACATGAAAAATTGATAAATAAGCTATATATACTACACACGCTTAATTAGAAGTGTTAATTCCATTAATTGCATTAACGCTATGGCTAGACAGCAGTTCTTTCCCTCTACACACATGCACTACACTACACACATACAGAGACATACACTGAAATTGTATAGATATTTGCATAAAATTCGTGGCAATTACCCATTTGAGCAATGTAATTCTTACTTGCTGGCCCAGCTACTTCTCTTTATTTGGAGGCAGCGCTATCAAACTGAATTTGCCAGTCGCCCTTGAGAGTTAACTATGCGGAACAGATGTAACACATGTACAATTGGTTTTGCAAAAACTCTCACAATGTGATTCCCCATTAAAACTTCTGAAAAAGCCTCTTAATAGGCTTTGAGCATGACCTTGCAATATTTCCTGCATCTAGAACTGAAATCTGAATACAATACATACATAGTCTTTCTTACCACGTTAGCTGGAGTGTTTCCATCATAACCAGTTTGATTCAGATCTATCCCAGCTAAATGCCATGCCATCAGACCATCAAGATCTCCATGAAAAGCAAGACTGCAAAAAAAAAATTTACTATTCTAAATATTCTGTGTTCAGAGAAGTACAGCTTACTTTACAAATATACAGCAAAAACCCAAGCTTTTATAGAATGATAGTTCACTTTACATTCAGGTACTCCTAGCCATTCTTGCCTTAGTCCCCAGGGTAGACACGGTAGAAGCCTGGATGCTTTACTAGGATAAAAGGGAATGGAGAGGAGCAGTGAATAAGGTTAGTATAAATTATCTTTACCTTTGAGTATATGATTTTAATTTCTTTAGCATACTATTTCTTACTCCCTTTCTGTGATGATTATGATGATGATATCCATTTAACCAAGTCCAACTCTTGGTCATTCTATGGGCCAGGTCTCTTCACATCTTCCAATCTTGAATTATTTCTTTGCTCTGGCTGGCATTAGCTTTGATAATGCCCAGCCATCCTGTTCTTTGACACCCTGGCTTTCTTTTCCTGCTCATCCTTCCAAACAAACATAATTGCCTTCTCCAGTGAAACCCTTTTCTGTACTTTGCTTAATAATGCTAGTCCTAATAAAGAATAGGGTGATGGGTATGAATGTATTTATATATGACACAGCAATTTTTTTCCTTCTGAGGAGGAACATTATTATCTTCAAAGGAAGCATAAACCTAAAATAGTTCACTCCTGGATGGATTTTAGCAATAGTTTCTTGTGATTGCATCAATTGGGCCCTTCACTCACATATTTTACTATTCATGCTTATCCATCTTGTGCAATATGATAATAGGGTCAAGATATTCTTGTTCCCTGAACCCTATTAAGGCTATAATATCTGAGCTTTAAAAATCTGGACAATCACTAGATGGCAACAAAGAGTTATTTCCATAGACCTACCCCCTTGGCAGCCATCTAGTGAACATCCAAATATGCCCAAATATGAAACCCTATTCCTCAGAATATTAATATTAATAGCTACATTGTTTTTTTTGGAGAACAACACTTTTCTTAAAAGGGTGAGAAACAAAAGATTTGGAAAAGATGCCAGAAAAAGGAAGACAAGATTACAAAAGTCCAAATAGCTGAACAAGCAATGCTGCTTGATGAATCAGCTGCATAAATTAACAAGGGCGTTTGGGAAGAAGTTTTCGACAGGCTGGTTTCACCCAGAAGGTGTGCCCATGACCAAAGGGAAAGAGGCACAGGCAGTTTCATATTTCACAACATCACAGCTATCCCATAAAATGCAGTTTAAAGGGGATGTCCTGCACCGAAGTTGCTTCAAATTTAAGGTTTTTGTTTCAAAATTCAATACTCAAATACAACATGAGAACAAAACTGTCAGATATATTATTATTTAATATTAAAAATGATCATATAATCTCCAGCCTCCTGAAAGACACTTGCCTCAAGTTTCCAAACTAGAGGCTAAGGAGGTGTTGCAAAAGAGCAGGTAGGCAGGACATGTAAAGTGCCTTACGTGCTACACCTCACTTAAGGGCTGCTCCTATTATTAGGCAAAGTGAAGCAGCCACCTATGGCAAGAGATTCTGGAGGACAGGAGAAGCCCTGTCCCCTAGCGAGTTCAGCTAAACCCTTGAATGGAGCTTCATGTACCACATGTCTATCCTGGGTCAAATAAAATAAGAATTTATAGTGGTTACCATAACTAGAAAAATACAATTTCTTTTTGTTTTAAACAATGTATTTTCTACAGACATTGTGGGATCTTTTCTTCAGTCAACATTCAATGGGCAGAGATCTGGTAGTAAGTTGGGGTTCTAGTTTCATGCAGTAGCTTAGAATGCTCTTTTCAAAGATGCAACTAATATAATATTTTAGAAGCTGGACCTTTGAAAAGGTCTGAAGCCCAATTTCATTACTCAATGTGAATTACAAAATTTTTACTTCAATAATGGCAGAGAGACTGAAAAGATAGTTGAGTTTATACATCCAGATCAAAACGGCTTTTTATCGAAGAGACAAATTAAAAATAATTTAAGGGTGATAATGGACGTATTAGAATATTATGAATTACACCCAGGGAAACAATTAGCATTAGTGTTTTTAGACGCCCAAAAAGCGTTTGATAATGTTTCCTGGCAATTTATGGTTCAACAATTACAAATAATGGATTTTGGAAAGAACTTTATAAATATGATAAAAACAATATATAGTAATCAGACAGCAAAAGTGATAGTGAATGGAGATTATACTGAGAGCTTTGAGATAAGAAAAGACACGAGACAAGGGTGTCCATTAGCTCCATTATTATTTATCTTTACTTTGGAAATACTAAATAGAAGGATAAGACAGGATACAGAAATTAAAGGATTGAAAATAAAAGATGAAACATATAAGTTACAAGCATTTGCTGATGATCTAGTGTTTATCTTGGAAGAACCTTTAGAGATGATTCCTAAACTATGGGGAAAGATAGAAGAATATGGAGAAATGGCAGGACTAAAAATAAATAAAGAAAAAACTAAAGTAATAGTAAAGAACCTCACAGATAAACAGAAAAGGCAAATACCAGAGAAAACAGAGGTACAAATAGTGAAAAAAGTTAAATATTTAGGTATTCATCTTTCAGCTAAGTATTCATCAATAAAAGAAGACAATTATATAAAATTATTGAAGCAAATAAAGCTAGACTTGGAAAGATGGAAAAATCTCCAGCTGTCAATATTAGGAAGAATTGCTACAGTAAAAATGAATGTGTTGCCGAAGATTTTATTTCTATTTCAAACAATTCCAATAAAACTTGAGAGAAAATTCTTTCAAGATTTAAATTCGTTGGTTTTGAACTTTATTTGGCAGGGGAAAAAAGCTAGAATTAAGATGAAAACATTACAAGATGCTAAGGAAAATGGAGGTTTTGGGTTGCCGGAATGGACGTTGTATTATCAAGCATCTGTGTTAACATGGGTGAAAGAGTGGATAACACTCAGAAATAAAAGGTTATTGTATTTAGAGGGACATGATTTACAATTGGGGTGGCATGCTTTCTTATGGTACGGGAAAAACAGAGTCCATAAGTACTTTCAAAATCATTTTATAAGAAATGCCTTGTTAACAGTATGGGAAAAAATTAAAGCTAAAATATATTCAAAAATTCCAGAATGGTTATCAACAATGGAGGCATTTATACATCCGAACCTGGTAGACTGTGAAAAGGTCTGAAGCACCAATCCTGTGCAAAGATGCATGGAAACAAATTCCAATGAACACAAAGCAAGAGGCAAAGCAGACTCTACTTCAAGCTACAATCTAATTCCAGACAGAACTTCTCACCAGTCCTCCTTTCCTTCACTTTTCATTCATTACCATATCAACCATATGTTGCCTCCCTGTTGTTTTCTTTCTGCTGGGGGTTTCAGGTATTTTTTTTTTCTCTGTTAGCTTTCATCCACCCTCTTGTCTATTTCCTTCTACAACTTCTGCCTTTGAATTATCCTTACAGTATTTTGGAGGATGATGTCTATGGAGATTCTCAGTCAGTCAGTCATGGTTGTCCCAAAGGTGCTTTTTTCAAGAGGCAACTGGACTTTCTTGTTTTTCTTTGAAGACATTTTGCTTCTCATCCAAGAAGCTTCTTCAGCTCTGACAGGATGGTGGGAATTGCCTCGTGAAAAAAGCACCTTTGGAGGATGATCTTTCACAAAACAAGGAGGGAGTCTCTTTATACTATTTCTTCTGCTGATTTTTCCCCTTTCTCTTTTTATCCTAGGATCCATTTTCAAGTTCTGTATTTCTCAATTGGTTAATTGGTCCTTAACCACCAATAGTTTTCCAAACTCTTAAGGATGCCTTTCTTCATCCATTCTTGTAAATCCCTTGGATCATTTTTATGTTAAAGGTACCAGCCAATGTCTCTGCTTCCTTATTTGTCAAAAATCCTTGACAGAATATCCTCTTACAATCTGTTCTTCATTTGCCTTCTAATATTTTTTTCAAACTATATCCATAAGAATTTTAAGCAGGGCTACAAATAAACCAGAAGTTTCTCACATTATGAACAACATTCTGAATGGCCAGGTCTGGGTGTTTTATATCAGTTTTAGTCCCTTTGGTTCTATGGCAGTATCAGGCACACTTGACCATTAGGGACTATTATCCATATTCTTTGGATATCATTGGCATTGCCTCATGCTTAGATTACCGTGGTAAATTCCTGGCAGTTTTTCTCAATCCCTCTATCTCTCCCTGATCTTCATTCTTAACAATATTGATTGGGATATCTTGATTCTTCCATGTTATTCTCATGTCTTAGTGCAATATAGGATTCTCCACTGGCTCCCTATTCAGGTCAGAGCCCAGTATAAATTATTAGTAATTATGTTTACAGCTTTCCAGGATTATACAGTACAATACAGAATTCACAATACCTGACTCAACAGTAGTACCTGTTAGAGGGTTCTTGGTGTTTTAGTAGATAACCACATAAGTATGAGCCAGCAGTGTGCTGTAGCTGCCAAAAAAGCCAATGCAGTCCTAGGCTGCATCAACAAAGGTATAGCATCAAGATCACAAGAAGTTATAATACCACTCTATATTGTACTAATAAGTCCACACTTGGAATATTGCATCCAGTTCTGGTCAACACAAAGATACTGAGGCCCTAGAAAGAGTGCAGAGAAGAGCAACAAAGATGACAGGGGGTCTGGACGCTAAACCATTCGATGAATGACTAAGGAAACTATGTTTAGCCTAACAAAGAGAAGGCTTAGGAGTGACATGATAGCCATCTTCCAATACTTGAAAGGCTGTCACAGAATAGGAGATTTATTTATTCTCTAAAGCACGTCAGGGTAGGACAAGAAACAATTTGGAACTAAGGAGAAATTTTCTGTCAGTGAAAACAATTAGTCAATGGAACAGCTTGCCTCCCAAAGTTCAGGGATGTCACTGAAAGTTTTCAAGAAAAAAAAGAAAGACAACTATTTGTCTAGGACAGAATACAGAGTCCTGCCTAGAAAGGGGGTTGGACTAGAAAACCTCCAAGATTATTTCTAGCCCTATCATTCTGTATCCTT